GCAGGTAGTAAGACCACTTGGGGGTTCTAGTGGTACTAGGTGTAAGACCCTAGAGGGTTTCCATGGATTCCTTATATGTTATATGCATGACTTATGTGATTTATATAACTTTTATAGCTAATGTGATATGTGTTATGTGGATTGTGTGTGGGGTATGCTCTGGGGAACTCACTAAGCATTAGCTTACAGTTTATGGATTTTTTTAAGGTACATCTGAGCCAAGGGAAAGGTCAAGGCTTGATGGCGTGATGTGCACTCTCTCATAGACGTTTTCACGGGACACTTTGATGATTTGAAATAAAATTGTACTTGACAAGAATTTTGAAAACAATTGTACTTGGGATTTCACGGTTTGTGGAAAGTATTTTAGTTAATCAAAAATGAAAAAATTCTTTTGAAAATTGGGTCGTTACAAGTTGGTATCAGAGCCTTGGTTTGAGGGATTCAGGCACACCCTGGGGTATGTCGGGACTCAAATTAAGGAAATGGTAAAATTGTTTTCAAAATAAAAATAAAAGTTAAAACTTTTAAAGAATGGGAAAAGGGGAGAATGCAACGTGCGTGATCGGCCGAACCAAGTAAGTAGTTCCCCAACATGTTAGCCAAGTTATACTGATATTTGAGTTATGATAATTGTATGGATCTTGTTATGTGTACGCTTTTAAAATTGTGTACGGTTAGGAGCTTAGAGCCTTAGAATGATTGATTTGGCCTTTTTTCCTGTTCCTTGTTTGGTTGTGGTCCTAGGGTAGGATCTATTATTCGAAAGTCTATTTGATTCTTTTATGTGTATAATTTGCATGCATAAAGTGATGAGATGATTGAATCGAGTATTATACTAGAATCAGAGTATGCAATGATTTACAACACGTAATCTAAATATAATCTGTTCACGATACTATTGTTTTGACAGTTGAATACAAGAGGTTGAGAGAAAAATATTACAATCAGAAAAATGTTCTTAACCCCTAATTGTATCCTTCCCATGTTTATAGGGAAAACTGAAAGCACAAAAAGTATAAGGACATTCGACACTAATGCTTCAAATCTAAATGTATGTCCTTAAAATAAAATACACTCAAATGTTCGACAATACAAAACAACTTAGACACCTTCGACACATCACAACCTTCGAACCCCAACATTCTCCCCCTTTGTGATAAGTCTTGAATATAGGTTGTGAACAATTGAGTAGCTTGATGTAACACCCTCCTTATCTCAGTGTACCAATTGACAATCTTCTGAATCTATGCTTTCTCCTAGTTATTATTCTTTGCACAGCTTCTCATTCGAATCAGCAAATTTGTGTAGTGTGAAGAAGTGTATCTTTCAATATCGTTTATTTGAAACATAAATTTTGTCTTTGTACCCTTCTTATTCTTTCCCACGAAAAAATCCATAGGGATTCAAGAAAATCTCCCTATCTTCGTAATCCTTTGAAAAGACTGATTTCTGATCATTGACTTGCGAACTGTAACTTCCTTTCCTAATGTTGTAGCAAGATCAATATCAGCTATGGCTAGGGGCTCTATAGTAACCATCAATTAATACCTCAGGTGTTCAAAACCTATCATGAAATCTTCCTTGTTTACTTTTTGCATCTTCGAATAATCAATTGACTTCAAGATATTCGCAACAATTAATAAAAGCATATAGGTTCATCAGTGGGAAGTCAGCAATTGATAAGTCGAACACCACATTGTTTGCCCTTACTACAACATATCGATAATTCTTTAACATACCCTTGGTTATGTTAAGAATTCGAACAATTTTAACTGAGGACCAAACTGCATCTTCATTCTTTCCTAACACAACATGGAATCGATAGTTCAAGCATCTAAACTCCTCCTTATCCTTGAAATTGTTCTCAAGCTCGAATTACTCATCACGAAACATCATCAGATTTATTGGGAAATCTATCTGATTGGTTTCAGTGTTCTCAATGTCATAACTTTTTTTAGGTATTTTGCTAAATGAATGCATCTCACCCGAAAAAACTGTGGCTTTGATGTATTCATGGTTGTAGTACTTAGCAGTATCACCTTTATTCATACCAAGAGGATCATTTTCTCTAATTCGAAGTATGATTTGGGTCTACCTTTGTTTCTCCATTTCTTGTTCTATGACAGATTTCTTCTTTCCAGCTAAGGGTTCATGTAAGACATCCTTCCCTTTACTTTGTAACTGTCATGTGGTAGGAGGAGGTTTTGAACTTGATCCTCTAGCAACAAAACCACCAATAACGATTTCTTTTGTTATAGACCTTGTTGTTGTTGTTGTGGAAGTCGAAATTGTTGAAACAGTTACTAATGAAATAGGAATTTCAGTTGAAGAAACTTTTCCCAATACCTCCGCATCTTAGTTATTTTTCTTTGAAGAGCTACCACAAGTTCCGAACACAGATCCCCTGCCAACACCAATCTTCTATCCCCATTACACCTCTGTGGAAACAGGTAGGGCATCCGTTGGCAGAATAGTTAGCAACTTCGACAGAGGGGCTAACTCCTTTTGAATAGTTAATTCAAGCAAAGAAAACTTCTGTGAAAGAAGCTCAGGAGTTATTAACAATTATGAAACTAGACTTGTTTTTAGCACCAGACCCTTCGACTCAACCAACAACTGATTAATATTCGAAAAACTTTGAACATCATCAACAACCATCTTCTCAACCTCCGGACCAAGAGTTTCATACAACTTGACAAACTTTGTAACAACATGTAACGACCCAATTTTCAAGGCCAAAAATTTCATTTTTGAATTAATGCTTTTAATAAACATTTTACCAAAACATTGTTAATAAAACATTTCATTACAAAATCATAATGTTGTGTTTCAAACCATAACATCATAAGTATGTAAAATCATAGTACTGTCCCAAAAACTTCTTGCGGAAACATGTGTGTGTGTTGCGCTGCTACACCGCCGGCTCCTTCCCCTTCGACGAAGAGGTACCTGAAATCAAAACCAAAATTGTAAGCACAAAGCTTAGTGAGTTCCCCCATCATACCACATACCATATAATATCGTCGGTATCTTTCAACCGGTAACCTTCATCGGTATCTTTCAACCGGTAACCATCATCGATATCTTTCAACAGGTAACCGCCACTGGTATCTTTCAACCGGTAATTAGCATCGGTATCTTTCAACCGGTAACCGGGGTCTATTTTACCCCTACTACTAACATGCAATCAACAAATATAAGCATACAGTCAGGCATATCCGAGTACTGACCTACCCTTGGGTCCTACAGACCACTGTTAGGGAAACTAATCACTACTAAACGCATAACATATAATCCAGATAAGTCACATAACCAGACCAAGATAATTATCACAAAGACCATTATCTTATAAATACCTATTTTTGGTGGGCCGACATTGTGGCCTTAGACCCACCCCTACTGGAAGGTAAGTCACCTCAATGTCGTGCAGTGTCTGAACTATCCTCGGCGCACAAGTCAAATCCCTACGACTCCTCGATCCCTACACGACAACCTTCAAGTCAACACACATCACATACAACCCTAAATAGGGTCGGTCCAAGTACAGTCAAAGTCAACATTCAGTTGACCTGACTTGCCGAGTTGGCCTACCAACTCGTCGAATCCTTGCTTCACTAAACCCACACAAAACCCCTAGCTCCACTCGTCGAGTCTAGCGAAACTCGATGGGTTCTCCTTCAGTCATAACATCGGGACCATGTTCATCCAACTTGCCGAGTTCCTTATTGAACTCGTCGAGTTCATCTCCAACTTAAGAACTTGTCTAGTCTATGACTCGCAGAGTTGTATGAACAACTCATCGAGTCCATCTTCAAAGATTGGGAGATTGCTATGGACTCGTCGAGTCTGCTCATACCACTCGCCGAGTCCCAAGGCTTCCAGGTCCTTTTTCGTGTCTAAACCCACAAGGGACTTCCTTCCTATCATTTACCCATTCACAAGAAGGGTTTGGTGCACAATGGTCACCGAATCGTCGAGTGCCAAGAATAACTTGCCGAGTCCAAGCTTAACCAACTCCATACAGCTGATTTAAATGAGGTCTAACACACCAAAACCATAGATCTGGCCTCCTAATGTCCATTTTATACGTAAAGTTCCAAACTTGATGCACATGCATGGGGTTTTTAGCTCAAAAATCCATATAAAGTGTCTCACAATGTGCATGGGGCTCTCATGGCCCTAAAGATGGCACCTTTATGCCATGAGACCCCTCTTAAGGCCCATATCTGAAGCTAAAGTCCACATAACACTCCATAAATCCGAAAATGGCTTGAAAAGCCCTAAATGCACCCAAGATCCACATACTAAAGATGAACAACCAAAAGAAAGACCAAAGCAGTAGCATTTTACCTTGATTAAGCTAAAAATGGAATGAGATTTCTTGAACTACAAGCCCTAAGTCGAATACTCAAGCTCCTCTTCTTCCTTCCAAGCTTCACAAGTTAACAAAAGCACCAAAATGGCCTTAACACACACATATACGGGTAGGGTTTCGATATACAGCTCTAGGGGAGTGTTAGGGACAAGGGAGGTCGAGTTTATGTGTTTATATAGGGTGCAAACCCTTATATTAGGGTTTTTTTCCAGACAGCACGGACTCGCCGAGTTCGACTTCTGACTCGCCGAGTTCGACTTCTGACTCGCCGAGTTCGACTTCTGACTCGCCGAGTCAGCCACTGTACTCCCGGGTCCAATTCGATTCTACTCGATGAGTTGGGCCACCAACTCGTTGAATCCCATGCCAAAATGCAAAATGCTTAATTTAAATTGCGTACTAGGAACCAGGTGTTACACAATATCTGCAATGATATCAACTTTCTAATGAAGAGATGAATAATCTTGTTATAAAACAGCAACCACTTTTCCCATATATTCCCTTGGTTCTTAAAGTTTGAAATTGACATCTTCACGAACTTTTTTCCCATCTTGAAAAACAAGATATGTCTCTCCTTTGCCACAACCTTTAACTATTGTAGATTAGAAGCAAAATTCGATGACTATTCCTTCACCTGTTTTTCTTTATTTCGATCAACACTAGAAATAGCTTCATGAAGTCTGTTTTCTCGACCCTTTAGCAGAATATCAACTTCGAGACTGGACACAAAATGTTTATCCCCACCATCAACTTGAATTTGCAAAAGTGAATTAAGCTTTCTGTTAAGGATTTTAAATTGCTTCCCAGTAAGTAACATGTTATCCAAAATGTTTTCCTCTTCCGAATCAAACTCGATATTTGCCAAAGTACCATCAAACTCATTTTCATCATCATTATGAGCTTCCTCTTCTTCATTAGTGATAGGTGGATCAGTGTATTGGGATGAAAACAAAGATGTAATGTGTTGATTGAGAATGTTGTCAAATGTGGGTGAGTGGGTAACAATAGGAGTAGTAGAAACTAATGAAGGTAAAGAAAGAGAGGTTTCAATTGTGGAAGTATCGTGGGTAGATGAAATAAACATATTAGAAGTACCATGATCTTGAAAAGTTTTGAAATTTGACACCGGAGGTGGGGTAAGTACTATCTGCTCTGGTGTAGAAACTTTCGTTGAAGCATCAGATGTTTTGACAAGATCAGTAGAAGGTCCAGTATTCTCGACATTCATCCTAACATGATAATTTTACACAGGTGAATCTGGAATAACATCCTCTTCCATAGAATCATCATGAATGACCAACTTTCAAAGTTTCTTCTTCTGCTTTTTCGAAAGATGTTTTGCCATCTCTTCTGCCATTCTTTTCTTTAAGGCAGGAGAAACTGAGACTTGAACTTCTCAAAAACAACACATTTTCGATTAATCTGAGGTTTGACTTTGTACGTAGGAGAAAAACTTCATAAAATTTCAGATGAACGGATGGTTTGTGAGCCATCTTTTTCAATTTCTTCAAAACACCATACTCCGATGGTAAAACAGTAGTTCCGATTGAGATTCGTCAGGTTTCTTGGCAATTATCGGAGGTGGATCACTGTGATCTTGCTTTTTAGGTTTAACAACCTTTGCAACTTTAGTAGGTGATGATTTCGAAGGACCATCATCAGTACTCTTCTTTTATCCTCTCTTCGTCTTCGAAGGACCAACAGTAGGAAGTAACAACACTCCAGTTTCGACATTTGGGTTAATAGTTTTCAAGTAGTTTAACAACACCAGATGAGCTAGATCGATTTTTCGAAGCATCGCATCAGGAATGCAACCAACCGTGGGAAAAATATCAACATCATCCTCAAACTGTTTTAGGAAAATGAAACGGTGAAAATGTTGCAATCTCTTCATTCTCAGGAACTTCGATCCCCTCCTTCTCATATGCAAACTTTAAGATAATTCTCCAATATCAAGAACACAAGATTCCATCTATAGCATTAGTGTTCCCAACACTTTTGACAAACTCATTCCACAACTGAGTTGCATAATCCACCTGTAAGTCGTAGTACAACCCTGTTACCATTGCATAAACCTCCAATCAACCCTTGTCTAACCCCACAGTTCTTCCAGTTAAACAATGAAGGTAGATACCAAACAAAATACTTCCATAAACATGGCAACCCAGACTTCTTGAAGTCACTAATTTTGGTGAGAGGAGGTTGATAACCCATTTCATTAAACATGTAAATAAGTTGATCCGTGGTTACCTTGTAGAAAGGTTCAACATTAGGGATACCAAGAATTTGAGCAAAGTTCTTCTTCGACAAACAAAACTTCTTCTTATTCAGGAGGGAAAAGGGACAATATTTAGAGTTTTGTTGTATGTAGCAGTAGACCCGGCAAGAGATAGCCATGAAACAGGTATAGGAAAGGCATCAAACATCGCCTTGGAGAAAACAGAGTTTTGAAGAGCAAGAATAAGAATCTACAATTCCTCGGGATACACAAAAATGTCACTTTGAATTTGGAAATTAGTGCTCTGGATCTTCATCAACAGTTGCGAAGTGACATCATCGGTGGTTTATGATGGATCAATGGTGGTGTTATGAGAAACCATTGTTAGAGTTTGAAGAACAATGAAGGAGACAGAGAGTTCTAAATATTTGGGGATTTTTAGAAAGCGTAAAGTTGGAATGTTCCCCAAAAACCCTTTATATAGATGACCATAATTTTGAATTTGAAGCGGTTTCAACATTAATTACAACTGATGTGTCCCCTTGAAATTCGTACCAGTCCACCGATAAAGTAGCCACGTCTGAGAAAGTAATCATCACTTTTCCTTGAAACCCGGGTTGGAATACAAAACGTTACATCACACAGTCTGTTAACAAGTCCTAAGAGAATGAGAACCATCAAAAACCTTAGGAATGGAGGTTAGGCTCTTTCACTTATGGGTTTAAAAGCGAATTCATATGCCATACTATCGAAATCATCAACCTAAGTTGGTATTACTCAGAACCTCAAGGATTTTGTGAGTGCAATGTGTTCCAAAGAAAAAGATAAGAAGAAAATTAAGAAAATTTTGGATATGTGACGTTAAAAGCAATTTCATCACAAAGGCAGTTAGATCACAAGCAAAGATCACTTCATTTAACTCTAAGAGAGAAGTTAAATTGCTTGTGTCGTTTCCCGTGAATTACAATTGATGGCTTGTTAAGAAGTATCGAAGGGCTTCTTTTATCATAGTTTTGAAGGTGGCTTAAAATTGTCGTTACAATGCACAACTAAACATAAGCGTGACAAGTTGTAAACGAAATTACATGTTTGACCAGTGTAGTCAGTGATAAGTAAGCTTTGAAAATTTTATTAAGTAACAAAGGTTGAGAATAATACTCAGACAGATATCATATTCTTGAAACCAAAATTAGTCCTAAATCTTGTTGGGTAACAAATGTTGTGGGCTTCAAACATTTGATCAAGATTACTACAAATGAAAGAATATGATTTTGAGTATCGAAAACATGTACTGAAACAAATGTTTAGTTAATACAGGAACAAATTTCCCCGTCAATTCCTTAATTTGGTTCGGAATGTAGGGTTTCGCTTTCATCACGGTCTCATGATGTTAGCTCATAAACACAGAGTTGTGATATGTCTAGATCCAGATTGGTTTATACCAGAAATCTCTTGGACATACATCATTGTGTGTAAATGTGATAGAATTTTGGGATGAAAAAGATTGGGTAAAGTATTCGAAAGTACCATTGATGTATCTGGACCAAGCATATAACTCTAAACTCATTTGAGTAGAGTATGGTAGCTCATTGACTAATGGGAATATAGCTTAATTAGGAAGAATTCTCAAACTGAGAAATTCATGAAGGCTTCGAAACCCATTGAGTCATGGAGGCTTGGGTCGACATGTTGCATCATGCTTCTAGGGACATCTTAACTAATCCAAAGTATTGCAGATATACCTTCCCTTAGATTAGCAATAAGCATCATCTATCCAAAACTTCGCTAAAGACTACACAAAAAAATAACATGAAAGAAAATATTTTTGGAGTTTTGTATTTTTTAGAAAGAAAATAACAAAAATAAGAAAATCTTTTTGGTAATTTTGTTGTTTAAAAAAATGTAAAAAATAAGATAACGAATATTTTATCAAACCGTGATACTCAATGTCGAAAGTGAAGCATGTCGAAGATTTGACTATGAACATTAACTGTTGACTCCGACAGTTGTCCACCATGTTTGTTGTATTAATCTTTCAAAACTTTGCTAGGAACTTAATTTCCTTTGATCATTCCTAGGCCTGCCAAAATTCTTACGAATGACTTCTCATCTAATGGCTTTGTAAAAATATCAGCAAGATGACCAGTGGTTTTTACAAAGTGAACTTCAATATTTCCATCCTCGACATGATCTTTTATAAAATGATAGCGGAGAACAATGTGCTTTGTTTTCGAATGTTACACGGGATTGTCACAGATGCGTATGGCACTTTGTGAATCACAATACAACGAAATTTTCTTCATATTGATTGCATAATCACTTAGATGGCTTTAAATCCATATGATTTGTGAAGTGTAAGCTGTAGCAGCAACCTACTCTACTTCTACTGTGGAAATCGAAACACGGGTTTATTTCTTCGACAGCCAACTCACAAGCTTCCCATCAAGTAATTAACATCCACCACTTGTTCTTTTGCGATCTAGATTGCAACCACCCAAGTCTGCATCTGAAAATGCTTTTATAAAGAATACTATTTTTGATGGATACCACAATCCCAACGAAGATGTTCCTTTGAGATATCGAAAAATATTCTTTATTGTAGTGAGATGTGGTTCTCCGGGGTGTGACTGGTACCTGGAATAATGGCACACAGAAAACATGATATCATGTCAACTTGTTGTAAGGTAAAGTAACGAACCTATCATGTTTCGGTACAAAGTAATGTCTACATCACGTTTATCTAACGAATGATTCAGCTTCGTTCCAACCGTCATTGGTACTATAAGTTTTGTGTTATTTGTCATGACAAATTTGTCAAGAAGATTACGTGTATAGTTTTCTTGATTTATGAATATTCCGTTTCTGCTTTGATGAATATTTAAACCTAGAAAGTTGTTGGTTTTTCCCATCATGCTCATTTCGAATTGACTTTTCATCAAAATTTCGAAATCTCTTAACAAAGCAGGGTCAGTAAAGCCAAAAATAATATCATCAACATAAATTTGAACAATCATTAGATGATTCCCAACTTTCTTTCGAAAAAGAATAGGATCAACTAATCCTTGTTTAAATTTTGAAAGCTTAAAAAAGTTGGTAAGAGTTGCATACTAGGCTCGTTATGCTTGTGTTAACCCATAAACAACTTTATCTAAGACATAACAATGATCAGGATATTCTTCGTTAATAAAACCTGGAGGTTGTTCTACATACACAGTCTGTTCGAGATGACCATTCAAAAATGCACACATTATATCCATCTGATAGACATCAAAGTCCTTGTGTGCTGCATATGCTAAAAATATTCGAACAGCCTCGAGTCTTGTGACAGTGGCGAAGGTTTCCTCATAGTCTATACCTTCTTGTTGCGAATAACCTATAACTACAAGCCTAACTTTGTTTCGAATAATATTACCATCTTTATCAGTTTTATTTTTAAAGATCCATTTTAAACCCACAATACAAACATATTTTGGTTTGGGAATTAATCTCCATACCTTTTTTCTTTCAAATTCAGCTAGTTCATATTTCATAGAAACAACCCAACCAGGATGTTCCATAACATCTTTAACTGATTTAGGCTCAACTTTTGAAATAAAACATTGAACATGCAAATTTTTTGACATACATTAAGTACCTCATTCTTTGCACGCAATTGAGCTCTTGTAAGCACTCCTTCATGTGGATCACCTAAAACTTATTCTGTAGGATGGATTTTAATCCATTTATCCATTGGAGGATATGCTAGATCAAAGTCTAAGGGCACATCTTCGAACATTTCTTTAGTTTCAGATCCATCACTTGCATTCAAAAAATTATCATTAATATCTTGAAAATCATTGGTTTGATCATTCAAAACATTTGTATTACTTCCAACTTGCTCCCCCTTAACAATTGGATTAGCATTTTGATGCTCCCCCTCAACATCACCATTCATTCTTTCTCTCTCCCCCTCAAAAGTATGCTCCCCCTCAACTTGAACATTCGTCCTTTCTGGAAGACTTTCGTTATTG